GGCTGAGTGGTTAGAGCAGTCGTCTGCCATTGCAAGAGTTGGGGGTTTGAATCCACCAGCAGTCACATGTTGAGGCGTCCTTGGGCAAGACACTGAACCCCTCATTGCCTCCGATGTGTGTCCCATCAGTGTATGAATGTGATCTCAAAGCACTGATTAGTCTCTTTAGAATGATTTGTTCAATTAGCTTTGTAGAGATTTAGTAGAGTGCTGTATGAATGGGTAAATGAGGACACAGGTTGTAGTGTACAGCGCTTTGAGTATCTGAATAAGATCGAAAAGCACTATATAAGTACAGTCCCTTTACCATTTACATACGTTTGGCTTTCTGTCTTTACGTGAACTTTGCATTGACTTCCATTCATTTTTCATTCATTTCTATAGCCTGACCCTGACCCACCAATGACACTGCTCCTTATGGGGCCCCATAAGGAGCAGTTGGTCCTCAGAATGTAGTATGTGTTGGAAAAATGGGCCTTACAAGGTAACAAATACAAACACACACAATTACCAACCTTTGAAAAATCACATGTAAAATGAGGTATCCTGATAAGTTTGCTCTCCTTTGCAACACCACAAAGAATAAACACAGTGTAAGTTTTCTGTTGAATGTACAGATTGTTCAGTTAGATGTCAGTGCCAAGGGGTGAAACATTTTCTTTTTATCTGTTGTTTGATGCTGATCAGGTTGTAATGTGGATTTATCAAGTGTTTTTACACAAAACAGATCCCTGCTGTGGCAGGAAAGAATGTTGAGAGCTGTAAAACAATGAAACTACTGTATGAAAAAGTAAACTGTGACATAAAAATGCCTAACCATGGGAACCACCAAAGTAGTTCATATACAATCCAAATCAGTAATGGCTGGAGGTAATATTTATTTTTAGATGTGTTACATTGTGGATTTGGATTCTGGATCTATTTAAGTTTGTCAAAAATAATTTTGGTAAAGTTATTGTGTGAGATTCAGTAAAATATTTGTTCAGTACAGCTGTACCTCTTATCTCCTTTCCATGCATGGTGTTCCTATTGAGTTTATAGATTCTTACAAATACTTGGGAATTTTGGTCGATGCACGTCTCTCTTTTAAACCACATATTGAAAACTTGATAAATTGAAATTAAAACTGGGTTTCTTTTTCAGAAATAGATCTTAACTCTGAATGCCAGAAAACATCTTGTAACCGCTACCTTCCTACCAGCCACTGACTTTGGTGACATTATTTACATGAATGTCCCTGCCAGCTGTTTGCAGATGTTGAATGCTGTCTACCATGGTGCGCTAAGATTCATCACTGGTTATAACCACCGTACCCATCACTGCACTCTCATTGGTCAGTTGGTCATCATTATCTACACGTAGACACTCACACTGGTTCATTTTCATCTGTAAATCCCTCCTTGGTCGGCTACCTTCTTATATCTCCTCCCACATGTCACGCCATCAGTGCAGCTACAACATGCGCTCTCAGGACATCATTACCTGCAGCGTTTCCTCAGTGCGGACCAAACTTGGTAAAAAGACCTTTTCCTACTCTGCTCCTGTAACTTGGAACACATTGCAACAGGAACCGAAGTTGTCCTCCTTGATTTCTTTAAGGGGTTTCAAACATTTGATAATATTCAATGGAAAAAAATCAAGGCAGGTATGTTCTTGTTTTTAGTATTTCACCCTGATTTACGGCACCCTGATTCATTGTTTTGTATACTACTCTTATTTTAACTGCATTTTTACTGTAGTTTATTGTTATTGTTGTCTGCACTTTATATGTTCTGTCTGGAACAAGTCTCTCTTGTAAATGAGTCCTCGTGGCTCAGTGAGACTAGCCTGTATAAATAAAAACTGAATGAATGAAAAGTGCTGTTTGTCCCTGTAGGCTTTACCAAGCCTCTTGGAGTACAAACATGTTTCTTAAAGCTTCACATCTTTTTTCATTTCATTTTCTTTTCATTTTTCACTTAACGCTGACTAATACATATCTACCGTATAAATATTAGCTAAAGTTTATAAATATTAGCCAACGTTATTATAACATTACTATATTTAGTATTGACTTTAAACATTTGATTATACACATTTCCAGTAATAAACACCATGCTAATAGTGTTAGCTTTTCTTTATTTTCAAAGCTAAGTTAGCTTCTATGCTAACTGTTGGTCAGTGACTTTTGTGATGTACAGTATACATCTTTATGAGGCATGAAATATTAACATAAATCAGACGTCATTCATGTAAAATTGTTCATAGTTATTAAAGTTTCAAGATCATTTAAATGTATTAATTGTTTTGTGGTTGCGTCACTGAACTGTAAATAAATGAGGAGCCTGAGGATTCCCTCCGCTGCTCATCAGAGCATGTTTCTGTGTACTCACTGGGAGTGAAGAGCAGTTTATTGTTACACTCCTCTTCATTTGAACAGGAGCATACGTATGCCATGCCACCCGTCAGATTCTTCTTCTTCATCACACAGCTGGTGCTGTTGTAGTCATCCAGCAGAATCCCATACAGTGGGATGACCGGGTCGTGGCACAGAGTTTCCAGGGAGAAGCCCGTCTCGTTCTTCCTCCTGAACTCCAGAAAGAGTGATGAATGAGACGGGTAAGATTTGAACAGTCAACAATCTTAATATTGTTACTTATTGTAATGTAAATTACATCTAAGATGTTCAGATCTGTCATTCAGTTATGTCTATTGCATTCAGATAGCACTAAACACGAGTGTGGACCGACTCAATGCACATTGAAAATGTTTTCAGTGAAGCCACATTTAGAGGTCTAGACATAAGTTTGATTCGTCTGATCACAATCTGTCCTGAGCCAACATGTAGGATCTCCAGGGTCTCTAGGGGCTGAGATGGTAGAGGCAGGGCAGCCAACTTGGGACCAGAAATTCACATGTTCAACTCCCCGCCATACCCGTCATGGTGTCCTTGAGCAAGACACCCAGTCCCTAACTGCTCCCCGGGCACTTACATAGCTGCCCACTGCTCCACCTGCATGTATCTCAGGTAAATGGTAAATGGACTGTACTTATATAGCACCTTTCTCTCTTATTTCAAGACACTCAAAGCGCTTTACAACAATCTGTGTCCTCATTTACCCATTCATACATCACTCTACTAGATCTATAAAGCTAATTGAACAAATCATTCTAAAGAGACTAATCAGAGTTTTATCACATTCATACACTGATGGGACACACATCGGAGGCGATGAGGGGTTCAGTGTCTTGCCCAGGAACACCTCGACATGTGACAGCTGGTGGATTCGAACCCCCAACTCTTGCATTGGAGGACGACTGCTCTAACCACTCAGCCACAGCCGCCCCCTATAGCTTGTATGGAAACAACAACACATGGCACTTCTTTCTTCTTTCCTACTGAACTGACACGACCCTAAATAGACTGCAGTCATTACCTGGATGACTCAAGAACAAGAAAAGGATGCTCAGCTGGTGGCTGAATAATTAAACAGCAATTCTTGAAATATTCTGAATAGTCTGCTTTATTTATTTTTTTATTTATTTAACTAAACCAGCCACTAGGGAGCACATGCCAGCGTATCTTTTGTGCTGGTCCCAAGCTCAGGTAAATGGTGAAGGTTGTGTCAGGAATGGACTCTGCCGTAAAACACTTCTGCCAAAACTATAATACGAGTTCATCAGCGTGTGGATGAGGATGACTCACTGTGGCGACTGTTGAAGAGGGAAAAGCCAAACAAAGAAGAATAAGATGAATTTATTTGACTGATTTCCGCTAAAAATTTAATGTACAATTCATCAAAATCCTCTCCTCCAATACAAACGTCTGTCATGTCAGGATTTCATTATACAGAGGGAATTACAGGGCGTTGTATGAGTAAGTTTTCTTTTAGTTCAGTGTTTGTTCTGACTGCTTTTGGACCCCCTGTGGTGCTGGGCCAGTGACAGAACAACAGTCTGGTCAGGGTTACATCACATTACAATATAGCCATTTAATTAATCAGAGATAATGTTAAATTCAGTGTGAAGCTGTGCAGCTGGCAACTGAAGACTTGTGCAGGTTAAAATCTTCAAATGTTGCTCTGACACTGAGTTCTGTGATGACAACATTCTACTAAGTGTGAATGGATGTGTCAGATCTGACAACTTGCAATGATAAAGGAATGGTAAAAAGTCTGATTAATGAGAGATGAAGAGTGTTCTGCTCCCACCTACCAGATGGCGACGCAGATTTCCTTATCATCGGCACAGATGGACGAGATGGAGCAGTTTGTAAAGCACGGCCCAGTGCCGTTGCAACTGGAAGGCTGCAAATCACAGAACATGCAGAGCTGGTGACCGATGTTAAAGGGCATCCCACCTGCAAACAAAAGCACACGTTTATCTCAACATTTATTCTCTGTCCTAAAAGAAATATACATCATTTGATGACCACTTATTGTGTACACCTAAATCAACAACAAGACAAAACTTTCAGAGGAAAACCCTAAATTTAGTTAAAGCTCTATCACTCATTGGTAGAATGCAGTTCAGCCAGCACCTTTTCTGCCAGAGGTTTAACTATGATGAGAAAGACAGAGGAGCTGAAACAAACCCAGTCTTATTTAAATAGCACATTCTCTTAGTGGGTCAACCAGTTTGATGGTGCTCAGATTATTTCTGGAGTCCGCCCTCTCCCCCGCCGACTCGTTTGAGGCAGTCATGGTCAAAGTGGTTCAAAATATCAAGGCTCATGAAATAATGATGACTGATGATGGTCACCATCAAACTGGTTGACCCAATATGTGAAGGTGTTATTTATAAGACTGAGTTTGTTGCGGCTCCTCGAATGATGAAGAGTTTTGGATGAAAGACGAAATGTTTCAACAAAAATAACCCGTCCAGAGGACCTGACGTTACTTTGTTGGATTATGATGAGAAAGGATGGAGCTAAAGGCATTTTGGTCAAACCTTTATAAAACGTTACATGATCAAGGAAGAGCTCACAAAATGTGTTACCTCCAAGAGTACTAAAGATGACTCTCAGCTACTACCACAGCAACATTTAGCTCAGCAGATGTAAAACAGACTGAATTATTGACATGTTTGCTAAAGTTGATTAGCTGTGACAGCCACCATGAATTGGGTTGACTCAATGGTTAATCAATTATAGATGTACATCCTCTCTCAACCGTTTGGTTGGGGGGGGGGGGGGGGGGCTTTGTCTTGTTCACGAGTGATGGCAGGATGAAGCAGGACATGGATGGATGAAGTAGGGCCTCATCCTCAATAATAAGGGAGCTGCTTTGGTTAAATGTGGTGAAGAAAGAGCTGAATCAAAAGGCAAAGTTTAGTCTGTCTATGTTTGAACCTTCAGCTGTGGTCATGAGTTTTGGATCATGAATGAAAGAACGAGATCCTTGACACACGGTCAAAATGAGCTTCCTTCATATGGTGAAGGACTCAGCCGTAGAGATAGGGCGAGGAGCGCCGTCATCCTGGAGAAGCTTGAAGTAGATCCGCTGCTCCTTCAAATCAAAAGGAGTCAGTTGAGGTGGTCCAGGCATCTGATCAGGGTGTTCTGGATGCCTTTCTCTGGAGGATTTCCAGGCATGTCCTACTGGTAGGAGGCCCCAAAGCAGACCCAGAACTCTCTGGAGAGATAGCATATCTTCTCTGGCCTGGGAACGCCTCAGGTTCCCCAGGAAAAGCTGGACAGTGTCTCTGGGAAGAGGGATGTCTGGGTTTCTCTCCTGGACCTGCTGCCTTCCTGACCCAACTACAGATAAGTGGCAGAACATGGAGATGGAGATCCAATAATTACATTTGGAGAGTTTCATTAAAGTCTGTGCTGTGGTTCATAAAGTATATTGCTAACTGTCCAGATAAAATAAACAAACACGCATACACACATAGACATGGGGAAAAACCACACATAATTGTCCTTTTCCCTTTAGTGGTGAACAAAATCAAATGCTATAAGAAAACTTGTGTAAAGGCAGCGAGCGACATGCATTCCTTCCAGAAATGCTCAAACTTGCTCAAACTGATTATAGTCAGCTTTAAGCTCATCAGTTCAATCTCAGAGGAACATCTTTGGACTAAAATACTCCTCTTTGATAAGCCAGACAGCCACTTCACTCTGATGGAAAGAGCTCTCTTCATACAAACAACAACAACAGCCCCCCAAACCCCCGCTTATCAGAAAACCAAGGCACAGTCAAAACAACTGCCGTCAGCGCTATCGTAAAAATCAGCAGACCCAGCAGCACGTCTGCAGGGCTGAACTGTGAAATCCAACCAGAGGAGGACTTCTTTCTTTTAAATCATGCAGGGAATCGTGCCGTTAAACGTCCTCTCTCTGTGGAGGGTGTTGCATGAGTGGGTGGGTGCACTTGTGTTTCACTAGATTGCAGTCCGCAAAGACTGGGTTACTCATTGAGCAGGAAACACAGCTAATATAGTTTCAAGACACATTCCGTCACGCAGAGTCAACTTTGGAAAGGCAGACTGGAACAACAGACGCCCCCACACGACCTGAGAGACAAATAAAAGCTGCAGCCACAGAGGCTGAGAGTTATACTCTGAGATCAGTGACTTTCATGGTGTGAATGAAACTGGCCTGTTCTGGTGTGCAACACGCACGACACACTGAAGTCAAAGGAGCTGCTCTCTTTAACTACTGTCATTATTTACCCGTTAAAACTTTATCATTCTCATTATTTTATTTTTCATTTTCTTGATCAGGCATGAGGTGAGATTTGAAGAGCACACAGTAAGAAAAACATTTATTCTTAAACTGTTTTCAAACTAATATAATAATAGTAAAGGTTTGAATTATCTCGAGTTAAAAAAAAACAAGACACAAAAAAAATTGCAATTTTATGATCTTATGAAGACAGTTGGTATGTTTAATGTTACTAGCAAGTTAAAAAAACCCACATCCCTAACATTTTTGGGCCCCTCCAATTTTGAATAAGCACACACTCGTAGATCAAGACAGTTTTTAAACCTTGTTTCAACTTTAACTTCAAATGATGTTGCCTTCACTGAACATCAGAAACAGAGTCAGACTTCTTGGTTGTTTTTTCCTTTTGGCTTCCTGTTGTCTGCAAAATATTATTAAAAAGAAAAAAGAAATTAATGCTGTGCATCTGTTTAGAAAATCCAAGTTATAAAGGGCTGTCCAAGCTTTGTAGTGTTTTGTAATTTAAAAAGTAATTTTATAATTTTTCCAGCTGACAGTAATTTCACCTTGAGGTAATTTTTCTCTTTTTATGCACTAATAGCTCACATGATAACTAAAACACAAAGGGAAGAACAGATTCATTAGCCAGACTACTAGTTAATCATCAACTGGTCCATTACTGACTGGGACCATCTTAACTAATTACTTTCAGTGAGGTTGTGCCTGAAAACCAGAGGATCAAACTGTGGACAGGTGTTTGTGTCCCTGTTCACAGAGAGTTTGGTGTGTGCTAAAGACGGCGCTCCAAACATCTCGACATTTACCTGGACATCAGTTAAACATCAACTAAAAACTGGTCCATGCATTTGTCACGTCTAGACTGGATTATTGCAACTGTTTATTATCTGGGTGTCCACAGACTTCATCAAAAAGTCTTCAGTTGATCCAAAATGCTGTTGCCAGAGTCTTAACTGGAGTTACTGGGAGAGATCATATTTCTCCAGTTTTAGTTTCACTCAATTGGCTCCCTGTCAAATCCAGAATAGAATTCAAAATCTTACTTCTAACCTACAAAGCTCTCAACAACCTGGCTCCATCTTATATTACAGATCTTATTGTTCCATATTTTCCTAACAGAGCGCTTCGCTCTCAGACTGCAGGTTTACTTGTGGTTCCTAGAGTTTACAAAACCAGAATGGGAGGCAGATCTTTCAGTTATCAGGCTCCTCTCTTGTGGAACCAACTTCCAATTTCTGTCCGTGAGGCTGACACATTATCCAGTTTTAAAACTAGGCTTAAACTTTCCTTTTTGCTAAATCCTATAGTTAGTGTCGGCTTGGCTTTCCTGAGCTGTCCCTTATGCTGCTATAGGCTTAGACTGCTGGAGGACAAACTGACTGCAATTTTCACTCTGCTACTGTCTTTACTTACTCTGCTCAACCTGTTTTGTATTTGTAATTTTTTTTTTCCTATCCTTAACATGTGTTTTTGTCTTTCAGGTACACCTGGACCTACAACTGGACCTACACCTGGACCTACATCTGGACCTACATCTGGACCTACACTCCACCCAGAAAGGCCCTGGGATTTGAACTGGCGACCTTCTTGTTGAGAGGCAACAGCTCTACCAACCAATTTAACCACTGTTCCTCCCTTAATATCTTTCCTTCAGTTCCAGTATATTCACAGAAGCAAAGAGACAGCTGCATTACTTCTTCTTTTTAATTTTTCTTTCAGCTGCTCCCTTCTTCAGGGATCAGCACAGCAAACTAACTCGCAGGAAAACTTGGCGGATGTTTTTACACCAAATGTCCTTCCTGACACAACCACAGACCATTGAGCTACCACAGCCCTCTCTGTGGAGCAGAGAGCTGCCATCTAGGGCACCTGGGGAGCAGATGGTAAGTGCCTTGCTCAAGGGCCCAGAGTGGGGCAAATGAGGATGGAGGCAGGTTTGGATGTTTCACCTTCCCGCCCACATTTTGATGTTGTTGGTCTGGGAAGTTGAACCAGTGATATTCTGATTACAGGCCCACCTTCTCTAACCTCTGTGCCACCAGAGACAAAACTCCATCACTAATGTTCCCATATTCCCACCTTTTGGATTCCTCTTGCTCTGTAGGTGGAGCAAACAACGCTCCGCCAGCTTGTGCAGTGTGCAGATTTATGATGAACATGTTCGAGCTTCAACGTTCTTCAAAAGTCATTTATTTTTATTATTGCTGCACATTTCTGCTGCGACTACGTGTAGGGATTAGAGTATGAAAATATGTGACTTCACTGTGTTGGAGAAAATGTTAACTGTACGCTTGATGGCTCCTGACGGGGCTGTAAGTGAAATGTGAGATTTCTTGGTGCTCTTGTTGCAGACAGAGTACAATTCTGCTACTGAGCCCAGCTTCCATCTGGCACTCAGAGCCGTGAACAACCAGACTAAGTGAAACAAAGAAGATGAATGGAGAAAAATCAAGGTCCAACAAAAACACCCAATTCTGCCTGAAAATAAAATAAAAAACTTTCACATCACAACTTTTTCAAATTGTATTGTGTGCTGGCAGTATGTGAGGAAATAACAGATTGTAATTTGCAGATGAGGTAATTGAGAATTATCTCAACATTTTCTGAACAATTTTTAAATTCTAACTTTATTAATGCCCACGTCAGTGGATGAAAAAAGGGTGATAATGTTTTTG